AAGCGGAAAAAAGTGAGCCGCATTAGCTCCTGGAGATGTGACGTCAACGCCTTAGGTGCAAAGAGCCCATTAAATAGCTTGTTGCTTATATGCAATTCCTTGCGGACCACTGGGGGCACCCGCGAACCATCTAGGTCAGTCTTTCATGACTGACCTAGATGAATTGATAAATTAAAGCAATTTGACTTAATTCAGTGACAGTCATTAACCAGACATTATTTGATGAAAATCTAAAAGATTCAGAACAAAGACACAGAAAATCATATTTTCAGTAAAGTTTTATTTTTAGTGCATGAACAGAATTCTATGTCAAGGTCATAGCCTACCCTTTTCAATCAATTTTAAATATTTTCTCTTTTTAATTTTTTTACATAAAAAAATAATAGAGCAATTTTAATATATTTCTTCTCCCCAAAAGAGCACTCAGCAGGTTTGTTTATAAAGGTGCTGTACAATGTACAAACATTTACATCTACTGGTCCTACAGAATGTAGAAGGTACCACAAGGAGTTCTTTTTTTCTAATGAAGCAATGCAAGGCCACAGTATGATGCAGAGATGACATAGAAAATGGTCAGAACAAAAGCGTCTGGAAGTCAAACAGTGCAGGGGAGATCGAGTAGAGCTGTTATCCTTCTTAGGACCAGAGTGGAAAAGCTGTACCTGGTATTAGAGCTGGATTTACTCAGACACACCAATCAAACTATTGCACAAAACTCATAGCGTAAGCAGACTCGTAAACTGAAAACAACTTGATACAATCAAAGTTTACCCTCCACTTGGCTTTCATTTATATTAATCTTATCACATATTTGCTACAATACTGTGTTCCCTGAGCTCATCTGAGTGTGTCTTAAATTGTATATTTCAATTTCTCAGATTTCACTGTTTTAATTGCAAATTTATCATTTTCTGTTTTCTCATAACTACCTGCTTTGCAACTCCATAATGTATGTTGATGGCTTGCCTACACAAAAGCAATAAATCAGCAGCATGGACAGTGTCTCAGTAAAACACTACATCACTCTGGCCTCTGTCATCCTTCAGGCTAGTCTAATGCACGACCACACAACAGGATAGACGGACGACATACAGTAGTCAGTTTCTCTGTAGTTAAACATAAAACAACCAGGAACATGACTCAAATCTGGTAAAGCTTTACATAAATTACCTTGAACCCTTTAGAAAACATGAAATATCATTGTAAAATAAATAATATTACCAATGCATTATACAAAATGAATTGGTACTCAGTGAACATCATTAGTTAAATACAGCTCTTTCTGTTATGCTACAGGGGCAGATGCAGTGCAATGGAATTTAATAGATATCATTTTGTAAATTATGACACATTCAAATATGTATATATATATATATATATATATATATATATATATATATATATCTATAATATAACATATTTTACAATGAGACACATTTTGAGAGATTGCAAACATTTGGTACAGCAGTTTGAATTTCTATACATTTCATGAAGTACTATGAAAAGTCTATGATAATTCCTACAAATGAAGCACAATAGGAATCAGATGAAAGATCTGATAACTTTAGTAACTGGGGACATTTTAGTCTATATCAAAACATGGAATGGTTTGGCATATTATTTATGTATATATATATATATATATATATATATATATATATACACACACACACACACAGACACATTTGTCATCTCAATAAATTACACGCTCTGTTATTATACACATGGTAAACAAGATATCAAACCACAAGTTTCTGGTCTTTTATAATGATGCTGAAAGAGTGCCATGATGAAACCCTCAGAACAGTCAGAAGTAACCATTAAAGTAAACACTTTTACACCAGTATTTCAAATCAGCCCAGTGTTAAGAATGAGAATTATAAACAAGGAAGCGGTTCATCCTGGGTGATGTGTAGAAAACGTGCAGTAAAATAAATTTAAGGACTAACAGCATGCACTTAAACAAACCCGTAAATAAAAAAAAAAAAAAAAAAAAAAGGTCTAAATGTCCACCAATGAGGCAAAATTAAACCCTACAATAGCCACATTGGGTGTTCACTACAAATCAAAGGCAGGGCCTTGCTCCTTTCTTTGCATATGGGTCATTGCATTGTTGTGGGAATGGTCGTTATTATTCCACAGGAGTTTGGCAGGATTGGCACATTTTCACATTTTAAGTTGTCTTT